TGGGATCACTATTTACTGTTTCTTATGAAAAAAGGTATTATATGGATGGTTAAATGTTAAATATCACTGTCAGTTGCCGGATCACAAATACCTTCACTTTTCGAAAATATAGCACTGTTTTTACAAGTCTTCTGTTACTTCCGTTTTTTCTAGTCACTGGGTTCTTATTTTCAGCACTATTATCTCACTAGTTAAATTATTGTCTAAGATGTTATTTTTATTCACTTTTTTACACCTTTATACACTTTATTTATTTTTAATCACTTTTTGAATACACACTCGATGTTTATCGTGGCACTGCTGCTACCCTCCCTCCTAGAGATAATAATAATAATATAATATTGTACCACATTCACACAACGCCATCTAGTCCCAAACTAAGCAAAGCTTGTACTATGGGTACTAGACAACTGATATAAATACATATATACTTTTTTTTTTTTGTAAATACATACTTATTATACATAGAAACACCCAGACCAAATCAAACATTAAATGTTCACGCACACAAATGTTTGACTTGAGCGGGAATCGAACCCGCGACCTTTGGAATAGCAGTCCGTTACACAAACCACTACGCTATTCGGTCGAGATGACTTGGAAGTTATAACTGTTTGAATAGATTTTCTTCTTTATTCCTTGAATTACAAAGTTTTATTTATATTGTCAGTTTTAAATAAGTGTTGAATGCTTTTTTTGTGTAACTTTTGTTTGACTGGAAGTTGAAGATAATGAGCTCGAAAACGATAATAATAATAATATTTTTGGACATCTGACACGATGGTCTTATCATCATCAATCATCAACAGCCATTGATAGGCCACTGCTGGACATAGGCCTCTCCTTAGAAAGGAGGCTTTAGCCTACTATACCACGCTGGCCAGGCGGGTTGATATAGGGTTTGTGTCAAGTTTTCCTTCTCTTTGCAGTGTTATTATCCTGCGTAGTTTACTCCCTTAGTTGGCTCTTACGATACCCACGGGAATGAATAGGGGGGGTGACACTCCGTATTCTTAATCCGTCACCACACGGACTACGAATACTATGAGTACATATATATATATAAACCATGTATGTATAAATGGGAATCACCTACATTACTTTTTATTTCGTGCCACACAAATTTAGGTTACCACACGTGTTACTTTTTTGTTTTTCTAAGCTTTAATTTATTGCATGTGTGCCATTTTTGGGGCAAGTTATTGACTATTAAGAATCACGCAACGCTCAACCCTTAGAAGCAGAACAATGACCACAAACTTTGAAATGCGGAGAACGGTTACGACCTACATTACAATAAAATAAAATCTCTCCTAAGTGATAATTAATTTCTGACATGGCTGTCTGATCCTAAACTAGGCAGAGCCTTTCCTCTTGTATAGTATATAACTATACTGCTGCTAAACTTATCATACTTATATATGTCTAAATACATAAATTACACCCAGACACAGAACAAATGATAGTGCTCATCTCACCATTATTTGTCTTGGTTGGGCATCGAACACACGATAGCAGGATTAGTAGTTACTCCGTAGTTCGGTGCATTTGTTTCTATAAGTTTTTTTTTTGCTCCATTATATTTGGAAGTCGCCACAAATGTTTGTGATAAGACATCAGATTTCTTCTCGAATCAGTTTCTTCCGATTAGAAGACCAAAACACAGACGTACGCTATACATCCGATACCAAGTTTGAGTTACATGTATTAAAAAAACTAGAATTCTCAAGAATACTTGAAATGTGATCGGGCAACGGCTCATAAAACGAATAAGATGAATGAACTCACGGGTGGCCAAAACCGTCATATGATATTTTATTATTAGACAATAACTATAGGTGTATATATATATATGAATCATATTTTAAAATGTCATTGCACTAACGGCGGTGCACCTAGTAACAGTAGATACAAGATTCTTAGATAATCTTTCGGGCCTTTTCCTAAATGACCTTTACCGACCTTGGGGACACGCCTGAACTTCAATTTTGTACGTGGAGGGACTGCAATCAGATCTCCACAACACCTGTACCTGAACCGACCGCCCCCTTTGTAGCGAATGTCTCAAGGGGGAAAGGGCCGCCTACGTAATCCTCAAACGGTCTAGTATCATTACTAGCCCGTTGTGTGGCCATTCCCTACAGGAATGATCCTGATACAAAATCACTCTGAGAAGCCTGCGAATGCCTATGACTTCTGTCCTTCTGGAAGGAGCTGAATTAGCTCACCAAGCCAACCTTTATAGGGATGAAAGTTGGTTTACTGAAAAGTTACAACAGAACTTCGATCGAGCTAGCCCATATGTGAAAAGCATAACTCCCCCACTACATAATATTATTTTTATTTTATAATAACTTCATAATCACCCTTTATCTCTAGTCAAAGCTGTTGCTCTAGTCAATTGTTGATTCATAAGGCCATTCTAAAATCATCATCATCAGCTTTTAATAATCCACTGCTGGACATAGGCCTCTCCTTAGTCAGGAGGTTTTAGCCTACTGTACTGTACTACGCTGGCCAGGCGGGTCGGTATAAGGTTTGTGTCAAGTTTTCCTTCTCTTTGCTGTGCTCTCCTGCGTAGACACCCTTAGTCGAAATGGGGGTGGTGTAACTCCGTACTCGTAATCCCTCACTACACAGAATCCTTCTTAAAATGAATTAATAATATTCACTTTGCTTAGTCAGTGGAAGCATGGCGTCATGGTAACGGACACTTCGGCCAAGTAAACTCCTACGCATGTTAATCACCTCCACAGTCGACAAAAAGTGACCACAGATTATATATTATCTAGCGAGGAAAATCATTTGTGTTCCATATGTCACGGTTTTAACTTATGGTCAGAAGTTATATGGCCATTTAGACAAATAAAAGCGTTGAATGATTTACTTAATAATTAACTTTTTTTAAAAGACCGCACCGATGGCGTAGTGGTTTGAGCTGTCACCTCGCGGCGGCCTACGGCGCTGAGTGTTATGGGTTCGATCCTCACATGGGATAACACTTTGTGTGCTTCACAAATTGTTGTGCTGTGTCTGGTTGTTCTTTATGTCCGTTTCATGTAAGTTATTAAAGGAGTTGTCTTTTCCTGAAAAATAAAATAAAATATAAGTACCATAGACAACAATGCGCCAACACCACTATAAATTGTAGTAAACTATATCATTCATTCCTTAATATGCTACCTTAGGGTTGGTATTTTTACCAGGTTTTTTAGGTTTAAACCTACTTAAGTAGACACTCCCAAATAAAAAAGAATTTTCCTAATCTGTTCACAAAATAAAAAGGTTCAGAGGCAACAAAATACAGCCTAATTAAAACCGATCACCTCTTTTTTTTAAGTCGATTTAAAAAGTCGGTTTGATTTACTAAAATAAGTATTAATACCTGTCCTCAGAACAAAGCATAATGAAAGAAATCAGGTAAAAAGAAACAGGTAAGACCATATTGAAGTAGTATCAGAAGTCAGCGCTAAAAATATACGTGAGCGCAGAGTCTGACGTCACGGTCCATTATGCGCCTGCGCCACTGCAGTGAAACCTTATTGATCGAGTTTATCGAAATATTACTAAGCTGGTTTTAGGGTTCCTTAAAGCGGTTTCGCATTACGTTCGATCCGATCCGAACCCATGAAAATACGGATCTATAAATCTCGGGCTGAATCGGATATAGCTTATCGCAGTACCTCTGGTTTCTGAGAGAATGAATTCGTATATTGTTTACGCACTATTGCGATCTCTGATCCTGATGCAAGCAATTCAGGGGTCACCTTTTAGCATACGTCACGCTACAGCGTTCACGTCATTGATCATGACTCCTTTCGATCGTCGTGAACTTCTTGCAATACTATTGTACTTACGAACGACACAAAAGAAGTCAAAAATTCTTGCTGCGTTTATACAATAAACTGCCATAGAAATAGTTCGACTACTCCCAACCGTATTTTCGTGACGAACAAGTAGATGACACCAAAACTGTTTTAGCAACTGCGCAAATACTTAACAGACTATTACACTACCCACATATTCATTAACGCTCATCACACAATATTTGTTCTGTGTGTGTCGTGACTAAGGGAGCTGTTGATGATGATGATATAAGAATACATATAAATATTTACATGCATGCATCATTAAACTCTTCGCATCACGGTCTACATTATAAATTATTATGATTAATAATTATATTATTTACATTGATAACTTTATTCTTGGTAAAGACCTTGCGACGACGAACAAGTAGATGACACCAAAACTGTTTTGGCAACTGCGCAAATACTTAACAGACTATTGACAATGGCGTCACAAAGAAAAATAGTCAATGTTGATATAATACTGGTGTGTTTTTCACATTATACATCATCTATACTTATAAAATTATTTGCCTTGACTGACTGACTGACAGATTCATCAACGTAGAGCCTAAACTGCTGGGGTTACATACTTGAAATTTTAGCAGCTGACGGTTTTTATATTAAATATAGCTGAGACCGCTGTTGCCCGCGGTTATAACAACAAACGCGGGGCGAAGCTAGTCTAAAAAAAATAGCCTAAGTTACTCCTTATGTGATCAGCTATCTGCCAGTGAAAGTCGTCCGTCGAAATCGGTCCAGCCGTTCCAGAGATTACCCGGAACAAACAGACAGACAGACAGACATACAAAAATTGATAAATAAAAATTGATATTTTGGCATATGTACCGTGAAAACATACATATGCATTTAGTAAAAAGCGGTTATTTTAATATTACAAACAGACACTCCAATTTTATTTATTTGTGTAGATTGCAAGGACTCTTAGAAATTTCATCCATAAGGGGGTAAAGAGATAAATCGGATGATGGAAGTTGGATCTAGTGCGTAAACTACCATAGAAATAGTTCTACAACTACTCCGGACTGTATTTACATGAGTTCGGATCGGATTCTGATCGGACGCAAGAGTGTAGAGTAATGGCTTTCTTAAGAAAAATACGGCAGAAATGCTAATTTTTTCTAACGAATTATGAATGAAGTGTATTTAACTGGTTTAACTGATCCAATTAATACTGTAAATTATTTCCAAAATTATATCTCATCATGTTTAAAAAGAAATTAAGCAGTTTTAATGAAAAATATATCCCCCTTCCTCTCGGATATTGCACATACCGATACCCGACCCCTCAACTCTGCTGAGGTTGAGAGAGGGTTTCCACATGACATGAAAAAAAAAAAAAAAGAAAAATTTTGAGACGGAGCCCGCAACAGGAGCGGGCCGGCGCTGGGAGGGGTCCAGAAGGCGATAACTACCTGGACCCCTCCTAAACTGGAAGCGCAAAGAGGGCACACCGTGTGGTTTTAGTCGGTTCGAGTCCGACACACCGCCCCGCCGAACGAGAGCCCCGGCGGGGTGACGGTCCGAGGGGATTTCCACGCGTAAAAAAAAAAAAAAAGGGTTTCCATATGACGAAAAGTAAAATCGAAATTAACCCGTACTAGGTTGTGTGAAGACGTTTATACTATATTTAATAGTATTTTTATAATACGGAACCCTTAGAGCAGGCGATACACTTAAAGTATTTTTGGAGGCGCTAAAGGGGTATAGCTACTCAGCTATACCCCTTTTGCGCCTTCAAAAGTACCTCTCCACCACTCGGTCGTGATGGCACTTACGGTTAGATAATTAGTGGTACTTAAAATCAACAAAGCCATATAATCAAAGTATTTTATTCTTATTTATGTAACTAAGGTAGCAAATAGGCATACGATGCTTCTGATAAAAGTCGTATTCACGTTTTAATAGAACCATTTCCTGTTTATTTACTTGCACTCGCCTTATGAGTAATCTCTGTCTCTCTCTCTCATAGTCCACTTTTCCTAAATTACTCAAGTACAGACTAGCAGAGTGGTTAAGGATATTCACCTCTACACCACAAAAGCCCTGACCCACCCTTAAATTTCCCTTGCAGCAGAATTAAATTACAACACTATGATGAGAGCCCTGGGGGTATGGCCGGCCTCTCCAATAGTCCGGAGTCAATTCCTACACAAATTGTTCATAGCCACTTAGTAAACGTAAAACTCTACTTATTAATAAAATTACATAAAAGTTTGTAATTTCAACGTATATACTTTAAAGAAAAAGGGTAGTTAAGAAAAAAAAACAAAATCCCGACAGCGTGAAAATGGTATATACCAAAAACTTTCAAATCGGCGATTTTAATCGTCATAATTTTCATATAGTGTCACTCTTACCATTAAGAGGAATCTAAAGCCACCAAATACCAAAATAAGTATAATATTTTTAAAATACGTTGCACACACACACACACACACACACTAAGGCGAAATACACCGGCAAACCAAAAATATAGGCAGATCTCAATCAACCCGTTCTAATAATCGGCCTGCGACATAGATATCACAAATCAAAATATTGAGACATCTCTGTAATAAATGTATTCTACATGCTTGTTAATAATACTAAATACTTCATATTTAACAGTATATGTAACTATAGGTATAGGGGTAAATTTAATAATAGAGTATTTTATATTAATATAAACTTTATGCAAATAAATGTAAGGTGTATTTTATTTTAACACGTGTATGTGATTTCTCGTCCATATAACAGCACTTTATATATTATTTATCGTCTCGCAACATTTACTTAACTATTTAAATATGAACTCACAGCTGAAACTAAAAACTATTATCAATTCAAAGTTTTTAGCATGCTAAGCATTTGATTTTTAATTATTGTTGCGTCATCCCTAAAGTAACATTTACTTATTAAAGTGAGCGGTAATACAGTCACTTTTTAACAAGCATTAATTGCATTTGCCACCACTAATAAATAATAAACGACTTCGCTCTTTTTGCAGATAAACCGCGTGTATCGCGGAGTGGGTCATCTGAACAACCACCATCAGTAAGAAAAGAGCCGTTCACTCATCTTTCGAAAGAAGAATTAATCGAAGAAGCTAACAAAGTACGGGCTCAAGCTCAGGGCATCAGGTGCACCTCTGATCAACCACCCGAGAAGTTCTTCTCCCTTCCTCATAGAAAAAAAAAGGATAACAAAATTGGAAGGAGAAACAGTGACGAAGGTAGCCCAGATAAAACTCCACTAGGCAGATCTATCAGTGATGTGAGTGGCAAGAAAAGGAAAGAAAGAACATCTTTGTCAACGTTGTTTAGAAGAGCGCAGAGAACCAGGAGCCCTGACGCACCAGTAGTTGTGTCAACAAACCCTGTCGTTGTTAAAAGAAGTAAAAGTGACGTTTCTGATTTAAAATCTAATACAAACTTAAACACACAAAACAAACCAGTCCGTAAACGATCTGGAAGTGAAACTGAGGAATTTCTAAAATCCTTGCGAAACAAGAAGACGCAGTTATCGCCTATTATAGAAAGCTCACCGAGAGAAGATTATTTCAAAAAGACTCCTCCTCTTGATTTATATCAAAAACAAAAATTAGCACTAAAAGAAGGTAAAATTGAAGAACAAAAAGTGGGTGAGAGTAAAATAGTAAATCCAGTAGAAAAACCACCCAGATATAATAAAACTTCTGATAAACCTGAACCAAAGGCACCTGCTCGAGCTAAGAGAGGTAAATCGCACGAAAAAGAACATTCTCCTCTGATAACTAGTACACCTAAAAGAAAAACTGACATTAAAAAGACACTTTTAGTAGACGAAATAGATTCACCTAAAGCTAAAGAAGCCAATCAAATTGAAATCAAAGATAGGATAAAAGACAGTATCCGAAAAATTGAAGAGAACGTTTATGGTGACAAAGAAATGATACACAGCAGTCAACAACCACCTGACAAGCCGCCTTTGACAAGAGGACACACTGTAGATCACTTAGTTAGGAGGCTAAAAGAAGACCCGTGTACACAACCTCCTATATCTCATTTAATCTCGCATACAAACGGAACTAATACAAGTAAACCATTCTCATATCTGAACCCCAGCGTGGGTCCTGATCCTAATAGGTTTGGGAATACTACTAGTCTGGATAGAGTTCCTTCCCCAGGTAATAAAATGGAGAAAGGAGTGGTTTACGCTCACGTAATTAAAGATCATGATACAAATGTCAATAAACTCAACAAACAAACAGTTCATAAAACTTATTCACCATCGAGAGAAAAGTATGGAAATTTTTCAGATGAAGATGAAGGCTTAGGCTATGAAGAAAGACACAAGTTTTCTAGTACTCGTATGTATGACTACGATTACAAAAGTAATAATGACACTGATACTCTAAATAACCTTGAAGGGTATAATGTTACAGATTCGCCAATTAAACCTCGATTTAGGGAATATAAACTGACAAATTTTGAAGAGTTTGAGCCCACTTATGCTAATGAATATCCTTCTAATGATAAGTCTCCAGACTTTATAGATAAACACAGAGGACAAGCTGATGGCATGGATACAAAAAAGAAGCAATATGAACCAGACTCTGCACGACTTGATTTAGATTTTAATGAGTTGAGTTATAGACGTCAACTGCTAGAATCACGTCTTAATGCTCGTCGTCACGATCGTGAGAGAGTTGTTGAGGAACCTGTGATAAGATATCTAGCTGAAGATCCTATTTATGAGGCAGAAAAAAGAATGAAAGCCACAGAACGGTTTGTGAATGAAACAGTTCGTTATTATCGCAATACGTTAGAAAGAGATGGTTTTGCTGAAAGTAGCGTTACCGAAGACTACAGTAAATATGATTCAGATAATCATAAAATTAAATACAATACAGAATCGAGGTTATTTCAAAAACCTCCCAAAGGAGAAGTCCACAGACGCGACTTCATTGACAGAATAGACACTAAGTATAAAGGCAACAAGCAGGATTTTCCTCCTGAACCAGAATATGAGCCTCCTAGCTTGGATTCTAATACCGGAAAACCAGTTCTTACAAAGGATGAATATAAAGAAAAGAAGTATAAAGTGAAAAAGCAACTTACTTCTAGTCACGATGTACTGCAAACAGGACAAAAGTATAAAGTAAAAGACGACTATTTTGGTAAAAGAAAAGGGCATTACGCATCTAATCCAGAGATAGCTCAAGAACGTGAAGAAGAGTATGCAAATCTTCCCAAATACGCTGATTCTTATCACTCTTTGCGAAGAGTAAAGAATAAAGATAAATACAGGGAAGATTTTGGTATGAGGCGTCACGACTCTGGTGATAGTAGAGAATACTACAGAGATGACAGATCTCCTCGCCGGTTCGAGATTGACAATCGTTTAGTTGACTCGGGAATCGAAAACGACTTTCGAAAAGACTCCAGTGGAGAAATTCATAGGACTCGCCACAAAAGACACGAAAGTGATGATGATGTAAGAACTGTTTCACTATTCTTGGCTAGTGAACGAAGGCACACAGAAGATAATTATCCTAGTGAACAGATTTATGCAAATGGAGAATATCTGGCAAAGTTCAAAGACCACCGCGATGAGGGTTATAGAAAGGAGTACAGAATGAGAGACAGGAGTGAGAGAGAGAGATATGATAAAAGTCCAAGTAGACTTGATGACAAAATCAGTGCGAAACCGCCTAAAGCAAAGAAGCTATCTGGACTTGAAAAGGTAAGGACATTTCTTTAACAATAACCTAGGTCTTTTCGTTTATTACTTTATGTCGGAAAAGCACCATATCTGTAAAACCATACATGCAGCCAATACGTATGACTTTACTGCTAGGGACTGTTTACAAAGTTTGATATAAATAGCCGTAAAGTTTGATATAAATAAATAGATAGCCGTTTTATAAAGTAACCTGTTCGACCATGCTCGGCACATAATATATGACATCACAGAAAACCAGTGTTGAGCTATTCATTTTGTTGCTTTTCATAGATTGAGTGAGAATACCGTTTGGTAAGTTTTTCAATCACGGCAAAACGGCTGACTGGATCTAGATGAAAAGTGGCACAGAGACACGGTATTTATTCGGAAAAACAATCATTAACAAAATAGAAATCGCTGGCAAAATCTGGTTATAATATTTCTGAATTAACTTTTTAAGCTTTTGAATTTGGTATATAATATACCTGTCAAAAGCTTAAAAAGTTAGTATTGAGCAAGATTGGTTTTATTTGCCATGGGATACAGACAAATAACTGTCTTTCTTTCTCTATATTTATATTTAAAACAATTTTTTCAAACAGATGAAACAGCTATTCTCTCGCGACTCTTCTAAGAAGAGCAAGAAGGAGAAGGAACCTGTCCAGCAGAAGACACGCACACGGGTACTCAAGAGCCCTGAACATCTTGCCAAAGACGAGTCCGAATATAGAAGGTATAATTTATTTAAACCACTAAGTTAACAAACAGATCTGACACACATTCTTTACATACAATAGGACAGATAATTTTGTCTTGAAATTAGGGGTGACAGCCGGGGGGGGGGGGGGTCGTCTACTCGTTTGTAGATGGCTCGAGGTATGTCGGGGCACCAGGGACTTCCTTTCTAGGGTATACCTGGTTCCCCGGCTATTAGTACCCGAGACGGCGTGCGGTTTTAGTCGGTTCGAGTCCGACATGCCACCGATACCGGTGGTATCCGAGGGGATTTCCGCACGGAAAAAAAAAACAAAAAGGGGGTGACAGCCGGAGGGGATTTCTCACACCGAAAAAAGCACACTTTCAAATATGTACCAAAAATTTCAAAACAAATGGTTTAATAGAACAAACAAACACACTCACTATTAACGTGCTTCTTATTTAGTTGGCCTAATATAAAACACCAGTAAAATTTTACCTGACAATTTCCAAAACCCGCGAGAGAACTATACAATACTTTGGGACCACGGCTTGTGGTCCCAAAGTGTTACTAAAAACGAAATATCGTTGCTTTTTACCGAGTGAGTAAGGTTACCGGAGAAACTCACACTGGTTCTAAAGGGAGAAATTTAAAAGGCGGTAACGTACTTGTGAATTGCAGATGCCCATGGATGGCGTGGCCATACTAACTTAAAACCAGGAGAGGTTTGCCCTCCAATTTCATTAAAAAAAATTCCCTTTAAAATGTTTTTACTTTTATTATGAAATCATCATCATCTGCAGAAATAAAACTACTATACATTTAATAGATATACTTTAGAATTTCCCATTGTTCTCGTAATTCTAGGATGTTGTGTCATGATAGGTTATTTTCACAAATTCATGGTTAACGAAGCAGTTTCTTAATCCACGAATCGTGACAGATAAGGAAATGCAATGAAAATAATGCATCATAACTACGACGAAACTGCAAAACTAAAAATCTTAGTTAAAACTTGTTTAATTCAAGGGCAAAACTATAAAGCTGAAGGATTTGTTTGTTTGACTGAACGCACTAATCTTGAAATGGAACTTCTGATTTGAATTAAATAAGAAATCTTAGTTATCGTGGAAGGCTGAAGCTTAATGACATCATGATACGACCAGTAGGAGTGGAGTATCAATGAACAATGTTGCAAAAACGGGTTATATTTAAACTCAAAAGCCTACTGCGTCTGTGGTGTATAATATCTTTGAACATAGTACCTAGGCCTTACCTTATATAGGAGATAGTTAAAGGGACTTTTACGGCAAACGCTAATACGAGTTACATGCCTGCTGACCTACACCACCTTTTACCACCAAAACTTTTATCCACAGGTACACAGACCCAGAACCAAGTGACATTGTGGTCAAGAAAATTGACTACGAGTGTAGAGCAGACGAGAGGAGATATCTGAGCTCCAGGGAAGATCTGGATCGCCACAGGGGTTCACCACGCGACAGTGATCCTGAGAGGAAGTATAGGGATACGGAGTACGATGGAAGGTAAATAGAATTTAGAGGCTAGAGAGAACATCGGGTACTCATTTATGTTTTGGGATCCCCAAATTCACACGGCCTGCGGAGATATAGATAGAATCTTCTTAGGGAAAAAAAACCCGTTGTTTTCTTATGTTACTATCAGTGTACGCGGCGCAAGCAATACAACTTTTAAATTCATATTTTCTTTATTTTTCAGTCTCTCTCTCTATCTCTCTTCTCCTTTCATTTCACTATTTCTTCACACCTACCAAATTTTTAGTTTTGCATTATACTAAGATTACCCTAAAATGACTCCAGAGTATGAGAATAACATCACTTTAAACATTTCCCAGACACGACAGAACATTAAAAGGGGACAGAAGATACAAGGAGCGTATAGAAGAAAAGAGAAGATACAACTCGTCGGACAGAGAAAGTGACAGGCAGTCCAGGCCTTCGGATGGAGAGAGTGAACTCAGAAAATCCAGGTATCGGGATCCTGAGGTTCACAGTGACCTAAGGAAGTCTAGATCAAGGCCTTTGGACTCACCCGCTCTGGTAAGTAAAAGTTAACTTTACCTCGGTAACTCTAACCTAACTTAAACCTCATTCGTTATATTAAAGATTATCTCTTCTGTAAAGTCGCGCTGTATGTCAATGTATCGCCGAGTAACGAGTACAGGGCGTCGTATTAAGTATACATATGATTACACACATATAGGCGTTGTCCGAATACCTAGTTGTTGTAGGGAACCATCATGTTCGTTTCTTTTGAAGCAGTCAAAATTACCGACAATTACACTAGGCGAGCACTAACAATTGTTGCTCTGCGAATAAGAATCACTCATTCCCACTAATTGCCATTCGGCGAATAATTGGTTCAACACTCAGTGAGTCTCACATGTTTGGTTCAGAAACAGCAAATAGAAAGTGTACTCCAAAAGGAACTGGCACTTTTATCTTGCCGCAAATGTTTATTTTAAAATATAAATGGCACCAGCCTTGAGGACTACAAAATTCAATTACCAAACGAATTACCGACATAACCGCTCATAAAAAAATGGTCACATTGAGAACTTCCTATACGCAACATACAAGAAGATGATATATCACATCGTCACATCAACAGCCTATAATAGTCCACTGCTGGACATAGGCCTCTTCTTAGAAAGGAGGTTTTGGCCTACTATACCACGCTGGCCAGACGGGTTGGTATAGGGTTTGTGTCAAGTTTTCCTTCTCTTTGCAGTGTTGTTGTCCTGCGTAGTTTGCTCCCTTAGTCGGCTCTTACGACACCCACGGGATTATTCCGTATTCCGTATTAGTGACATTCCGTATTCTTAATCCGTCACCACACGGACAAGATGATATATGATGGTAAATAACTATCGCCACCCATGGACACTGCCCCTCAGATGCCCCATATATGCGTTGACATCTTTTAGTGCCTCCTCCAGAATAGAGTAGATGACTGTCAAGTCAAATCAGTATCTTTTTTTAAATGACAAATGTCAAAACGCTAGACGCTGTACATTTTTGTATGAAACAGTATTTCGTGACGTCATACCTAGCTATTTTGACTGCACGGATGGCGTAGTGGTTTAAGCGGTCGCCACGCCGCTTCTTACAGCACCGAGTGTTGTGGGTTCAAACCCCACATGGGACGACACTTTGTGTGATCCACAAATTGTTGTTCTGAGTCTGGGTGTTCTTTGTGTCCGTTTCATGTATGTTTGTAAAGTCCCCCGCGTCACAGGATATATTCCTAAAGCAGTTGTCTTTTAAAAAAAAAAAAAAATTCATTTATATTTCATATTGAGTACGAATACGGAGTGTCACCACCCCCAGCGTTGTATAGTAGACCAAAACCTCCTTTCTAAGGAGAGGCCTGTATCCAGTAGTGTACTATTAAAGGCTGTTTTTGATGATGATGTTGATATCAAGATCTCAAATCAATAAAAAAAATTGATAATGGAGGACAATTTAGGCTCTACTTTAACATGTAATGAACTAGGCAATATCGAAGTTCTGTAGAAAATTTGTTGTCGAAGTTTTTAGAGGTCTAACTAACCTTAACAATTGACACAGATAACAGATGGCTTAACGTGCTCTCCGAGGCACGGAGGGGTCTCAATGTGTTAATAACGGTCACCCATCCATAGACCGACCAGGCTAGGGTTGCTTAACTTTTGCAATGTGTTACCACTTAGCCATGAACCACTCCATAACATCATGTCACTGATATAAGAATTTAGTGAACATCGACTGCACCGTTTGTACTAATATGAATGCGGAACAGAATGCGTCTGTTATTCGCACAGACTCTCGCGCCGACCTATCGGTTAAAGGTCGAATGATCGATTCACGACCTACTACTGGTCGTAATCTCAGGTGAAAAACAAGTGAGATGAAGAATTATAGATGACACGTGATTGTTATTCATTTTTCGTAAGAGGGTTCAGATTTTCCACCAACAAACAGCCTTAATCCCAGTATGTATACGTATAATTATATTTAAAAAAATACGAGTGTGATTTAGACCACACGACTGAAGTAAAACTTCTTAGCTAGGAGAGAAAGAGAAAAAAAAACTCTCTCTCTCTTTCTATCTTCACTAATTTATATCCCCCTCTCCATCATATCAACTTCCATTCGCCACGACCGATCACACTTTTCGTAACGCTCTCGTCACGCATTCACCGGCGTACTCTCCAAGTCAAGCGTGGGTGATGAAGTTTTACTTCAATAATAATATTCTACCACAATCACACACATCTAGTCCCAAACTAAGCAGAGCTTGTACTATGGCTACTAGACAACAAAATATAAATACATATTATAGACTTTTTTTATAGATACATACATATTATACATAGAAACACCCAGACCAAATGAAACATTACATGTTCATGCACACAAATGTTTGACTTGAGCGGGAATCGAACTCGCGACCTTTGTAGGAATTAAATGCCTACATTTAATAATAGGGGTCTAGCCGATTGTCGTTAACAGGGCAGGTTTTTAAATAAGCATACTTAAATGTTTCTAAATACATGCATCTTGTGATTAATTTACACACAGACAAGTTTCAAGTTTTTTTTCGGCAAGTTGCAAAAGAGTTTTTAAATTATTAGTATTTCGTCCATCTATCGCATGTCGCATTATAGCCAAGGCCAATATGGCGGCGCTCGCATCAGCTGACCGTGTAGCATTTATATTCTCACTCATTCATATCTTGTCTACTATTGATTTCCGATTATCATTCCCATTTTCCAAACATTAAGTTAAGATTTAAAAACGCGATTTTAACACCCGAAATCGAATAAAAAATGCCTACGATCCGATAAAAGTTTCACTTGCATCGTGGTTTCATAAAATCACGCCACACTTTTTTCATCTTTAACAGCATGTAAACAAACGAGACATTAGTAGGGCTGACATTACACAACCGTTTCAACCTGCCATTAAAACCGTCACTTTCAAGTAGATACTTATTGATGGATCAACCCCTTGGAAACGGGCGGTTGTAGATCGGCACAAGCATATCAGAGATTTTGTATAAGTTTATTTGCTTACTTACGTGTTGAACTATGACTTTAGAGTCTACATAAAAGACGATTTCAAACAATTATTAAAGAAAATACAGAATAAAAGAAAAAAAACGAATAAGTGTGAGTGGGACTCGCCCACCGAGGGTGCCGTACCAATTTGTAAGTACATATTATAAATGGGTCAGGAATCGAGTCCTGCAGTTTATTCAAACTTTTCCCGAAATTTAGTTTATAAAACCTATAATTAGGTACTTATATGTTGTGTTTTAAATAAAGATTATATATATATATATATTATTTTATTACACATGTATAGTTTTCATATTTCTCCCTGTACTTGTAGCATAAGATGATGTTACTTGCCAAATTTCATAGTTCTAGGTCAATGGGAATATTAGATAAATTATGATTCCCTTGAAAGTGTCGAATATGCGTTTTTTTTTCAACATAAACGTCTGTATCTTTTGCTTACGTTAACTTAAAAGTTTAATTTTTTCATAGCTTCAAGGAACTGTAGGTTTAAGTTTATGGTTTTAATTTCAACTCCATACCTCCATGCGTTCCCAAGAAACAGGCTCCTAACAGATGGAGAGACAGACGGACAACAAAGTGATCCTATTAGAGTTCCGTTTTTTCCTTTTGAGGTACGGTACACTAAAAATACCAGTGTATATAGTTTCTTTTATAAGACTTGAAATGGCCAGTTTTCGGAGGCGTCCCTGCTCCGCGCGATTTGATCTTGAGGGAGGTTAGAATTCCCATATTCTACGGTTTGGTCACGAATTTTTAGGCGGCCTAAGTCTACAAGGGTTCATAAATATTTAATTCACGAGAGACGGTGTGTTTTTATTCAATTCGAGTCCAACATACCACCCACCATTAGTCCCCGCACGGAAAAATTAAGATATAGTTGTAATTTTATTCAAACCTTTTCGAAATAAATAAGTCACAATATATCGATTGATGATAAGGTAATATATTAAATTGGGTACTTATTACTTGTAAGATAACAAAACGATAAGTATTTCGAGATAGACAGTCATATCATATAGACTTAAACAAAGAGCGGCCTTGCGGTGCAATCCCCTTTATCTCAAGGAGAGACGTATATTTAAGGACGACCTGGGGGCTTAGTGCGAGCTTAATTTACATCAACTTCTAGTAGATTGTCTCGCCGAACTCTTCACCAATCGTACCAACAACCATCTTCATAGAGTTGCTGTAAAAAAAACTCACACTAGGCACCATCCTCCCTTTTTCACTTTAAAGGTGAAATTTTCAAAAATCCTTTTGTAGATGGCTGTTTACGACATAAAAATCATCGGTTAAGGCTCTTTGTTTATTTACATGCAGTATTTTCTCGAATGTTACGCTGTATCTCACAACTTATGGTACCAGGGCTACATGAAAGTGAAAGTTAAGTGACACGCCAGCTCCCAGTCGATATACAATTTGGCCTATATCTTCGAGCTGTTTTCCTTTGTAATAAAGTTGTAGTTTTTTTGTAAGGCCTACTCTTTTCGAATCATTCATTTTATATACGAGTTATAAGCAGCAATGTTTGTGCAAAAGTTTATGAAGATGGATAAATGTTTGTTAACTGGACACGGATGGCTTAGTGGTTTCAGCTGTCGCCATGCAGCTTCCTACTACGCTGAGTGTTGTGGGTTCAAACCCCACATGGGACGACACTTTGTGTGATCCACAATTTTTTTTTCTGAGTCTGAGTGTTCTTTGTGTCCTTTTTATGTATGTCTGTAAAGTCCCCCGCGACACAGGATATGTTACTAATGCGGGAGATGTCTTTAAAAAAAAGTAATTAATAATGCCAGAACGGCTGAACGGGTCTGAATGATAAGTATGTTTATCAGCAGTCTGGTTTAACTATAGTAAAAGCTCCGCCTAGTTTGGGATCTGATGGCGGTTGTGAGATGTGCGAGGTTATTAATATAGTTACTATTTATACTGCTGACTGATGACACTTGGTGGACTTGCTACTCATATTGG